TCCCAACTACTTGCCAGGCAGGAGAATTACTTGAACCCAGGTGGTAGAGGTCGCAGTGAGCCAAGATCATGCCACTGGGTGACACAGTGAGACCTTGTCTCAAAAAAATTAATAAGGTTTATTAAAAAATAAATAAATATAAATTTCACCATTAAGTCATTTCTTTGCTCCTGCATGTGAGCATAGACTGTTAGAAGCAGCCAGATTATGTCTTGAATACTTTCTGCTTAGAAATTTCTTCCACCAAATACCCTAAATCAAACTTCCAAAGAGCCTTAGAGCATGGACACAATGTAGCCAGACTCTCTGCTAAGGTATAACATGCATGACCTTTGCTCCAGTTCCCAGTAAGTTTGCCATTTCCATCTTAGAATTCAGAAGCCTGGACTTCATTGTCCATATCACTATCACCATTTTGATCACAACCATTTAACCCAACTCTAAGAAGTTGCAAACTTTCCCTCTTCTTCCTGTCTTCTGAGCTCTCCAAACTCTTCCAACCTCAGCCCATTACCCAAACTCTAACGCTGCTTCCACATTTTCAGGTCTCCTTATACCAATACCCCTTCCTGGTACCAATTTTCTGTATTAGTCTGTTCTTGCATTGCTATAAAGAAATACCTGAAACTGAGTAATCTATAAAGAAAAGAGGTTTAATTGGCTTATGGTTCTGCAGGCTATACAGGAAGCATGGCGGCAACATCTGCTCAGCTTCTTAGGAGGCCTCAGGAAGCTTACAATCATGGTGGTAAGCAAAAGGGGGGTGGACATGTCACATGGTGAAAGCAGGAGCAAGATGCTAGGAGCAAGAAGGGGAGGTGCAACACACATTTTAATGACCAGATTTCATTACATGGTTCATACGAAGCCTCCTCCCAGCAGTGGAGCAAACTCACAAAGCAGTTGCTGATTTCCTGGAATCAAATGCTTCCTTCTCTCTTTGGCAGATATGCAGTGGGACACAGATATTGCCTGGATATGGTACCAGGCGGCCTTTTCACCAGAGGCTGCAGCTGCTGCTCAGCATTTTCCTGTTTTCCTTTTTCTATTGTTTAAAAATCGTGTTGATACAAGCTCTTGAATGTTATTGTGTCTCAGAATAAATACAACTGTGACATAGGTTTCACAATTTATTTTGCTGATTTCATCGTGTATTATCATTCTCATTTACCATCACTTTCCTGAGACAGTATTTTCTTTCAGGGACTGTGGGAGTGTGTTGTGCTGGGGGCAGGATAAGAGACACACAAGATGCAAGGTGCTACGTAGGTATCTGTGCCCCTTCACCTCCACACTCCACTTAGCTATTGGCCCTCTCGAGATTTGTCTTTGGTGATGCAAGCTGACCCCCAAAATAGAGAATCAAGGTGAAGGCAGGCTGCTTTAGTTTAGTGGTTTGAGTCAGTGAACCAGCTCATAATTCCCAAAATGCAGCCTCACTCACACCCAATACAATGGGGCCTGAAAGTCAAACCCCGCAAGTTCTTGGAACTGGTACCTCGGGTTGCTCTAACAAATTCTTTGAGAATGAAATTCTTCATCAGTGCTTAACCATGTGCTCTCTGCAAATTGAGTGTCGAAATGTTGAATGATTTGGTCTCTCCCATCTGTCAGTCAATGAGTGAAAGTGTATTGAAGACCTCTTCTCAGTCAGAGCTTTCCTTATCAGGGGCCAAAGAGAATACTCATCCCAGTAATGGTCTCTCACGTTTGCCTCTCCCTCAGTGCTCCAGGCCTTCAGTGAGACTGAGAGAGGAGCTCTCCCTGTAGCTAGTCAGGTGTCTCTGATCTGTCCCTCCTTCCAGGGTCCTTATGCTCCATACCCCCATCTCCCTGGCGGGAGCTCCAGATATTAATGAAAGATACTAGACTGGGGTAGAAAGAACACAAAGGACTCGCTCAGCCAGCAGTCCAGGTTTAAGTCTTTCTAGCTGTGACCTTGCACAGGCCGCCTGGTCTCTGCAGACTTCACTTCTTTGTTCCCATGACTTGCCATCTGAAGGTCCTTTCAGTGCTAAGACTCAGTGAATACAAAGGTGTGACAACCCGAATCTCTGGTCCTTAAACTAGAGTCTCCCAGTTCCTTCTTTCCAACATAAAACATGGACTTGAGTGGTACTGCCAATGGTTTAATCAATGCCAAGCAGAATGTCACACAGAAACTGCTTTTACAGAGAATAGGGGGCCAGCCACAGGGAGAGCTTTTCTCTGCATTTAAAATATATACACTAAAAATAGCTTATTCTTTGTAAAATCCTCACAACCACCCCAGAAATTAGGCACTGACTAGGAATTTTACAGTGAAGAACCTGGGGTTCAAGGAAGTTCCTCAAGACAAATGAGAAGGGATGGAAGCCAAATTTGAATTTCAGTTCATCATGCTCTGGGAACCCTCAGACTATTGTGCTGTCTCCATTTAAAGCACCCTCAGCCCTATCCAGAACTTGGAAAGGTAAGTGGGAAGAGCTTGGAATTAGAAAACCGACGACTTAGGAGGCTGAAGTAGGAGGATCACTAGAGTCCAGGAGGTTGAGGCTGCAGTGAACTATGATCATGCCACTGCACTCCAGCCTGGGCAACAGAGTGAGACCCTGTCTCTAAAAAAAAAAAGAAGAGAAGACAGATGCATCTTTTTTTTTTTTTTGGCAATGAGTTTTCACTTTGTTGCCCAGGCTAGTCTTGAACTCCTGGGTTCAGGCAATTCTCCCACCTCACCCTCCATAGGCATGCGCCACCATGCCTTTCTTTTTCTTTTTCCTTTTTTAATTGACGCTCTCTCTGCATTCTAATTTTGTTCCTGTGATCCTGTGCAAATTATCTTTCTTCTGATCTGTAAACTGAGGAAATGGCTTCTAAGATGTCTTTTAGGCCAACTTCCAGGATTCTAGAAAAAACATCTAAATATATACCCATTGAATCTGGCATTCTTTTTTTATTTTCTTTTTTCTTTTGAGAAAGAAAAAATGTTCCGTCACCCAGGCTGGAGTGCAGTGGCGCAATCTCAGCTCACAGCAACCTTTGTGTCCTGGCTTCAAGCAATTTTCTTGCCTCAGCCTCCCAAGTAGCTGGGTTTACAGGTGTGCGCCATTGCGTCCGGCTAATTTTTGTAATTTTAGTAGAGACAGGGTTTCAACATGTTGGCTAGGCTGGTCTCAAATTCTTGACTTTTGGTGATCCACCCAGTTTGGCCTCCCAAAGTACTGGGATTACGGGTGGGAGCCACCGTGCCCAGCCAAATATGGCATTCTTACAAAGATCAGTCCATAAACAAATAAACGACCTGGTATGTGATGATGTAACTCTCAGGGCTACAACCTGAAATCCACTTCATATCCTTTATAGACTATTTTGCTTGTCAGCAGAGGCTTGGACGTTACTCTCATACCTGCTTCCAATTCAACAAACCCAAATACTGTCGTTAGGAATATTTTCTAAGTGCTATATGCTTGCAAGCACCTAAATGCTTTTCTGTTTATTTTCCTTGGGGCTTCTGATAAAAGCAATCTTTTATCACTTATCTGACAGTTCTATCAGATTCGTCTTACAAGTTTTCATGTGTCTCATAGCCTCTCTTAAACAGATGTTAACTGTTCCTCCACCCTCTCCCCATCCCCATCAATGGTGCCTGCGTCCTGTTGAGAATAGATGACCAAACTTCACTTCTTGCCCATTTGCCATGCATCTACAGGCATTGTCTACAGTAGCTGCATGCAGAACCTAATACTAAAGGCACAAAGACCTTTACTGACCTGCCATTCTCGACTTCAAGAGTAATTCACCAAAAGAGCCCTTTTTTTTTTTTTTTTTTTTTTTTTTACAGATGGGGTCTCACTTTGCCCTCCACAGCTGGATTGAAGTGGCTTGATCATAGCTCACTGCTGCCTCAAAATCCTGGGCTCAACAGATCCTCCTGCCTCAGACTCTGGTAGCTGGGATTACAGGTGCATGTCACTGTGCCTAGCTAATATTTTGACTTTTTGTAGAGATGAGGTCTCACCATGTTGCCCAGGGTAGTCTTCAACTCCTGGGCTCAAGTAATCTGCCCACCACCGCCTCCCAAAGTGCTGGGATTACAGACTTAGCCTAAAGGAGACCTCTAACACTGGATCACTCTGAAACCTCTACTGGAATTTTAGTAAATGCTTTGATAGCTTAAGGTAGCAATATAATGTTGCCAAATTTTACATTCTTCTCACAAAATTTTGAGACATGACTTTCTAACTCATTCAGGTGAGCAAGACCAGGCTTGGCTAATTTTTTTACTTTTTGTAAATGGGGTCTCATTATGTTGTCCTGGCTAGTCTTGAACTCCTGGGCTCAAGCTGTCCTCCTGCTGTGGCCTCTCAAAGTGCTGGGGTTACAGGTGTGAGCCACAGTGCCCACCCGGGGCATAGTATTTAACATCATATTCCATATTGGTATTAAGAATGTGTGCACACAGTGAGATTTAAAATTATGCCAATTATAACTTAAATGTGCTCATTCTAGCACTGCTTATGAGTTACGAAATTAAAATGAACTGGATTTTGAAAGGTTGTTCTCCATATTGGGCCAGATTTTTTCTAACTCAAAGGCTGTTCAATAGTTAATAGGCCACACTTTCCCACCAGACATCAAATGCTGGCCTGAAGCTTGGTGAAATGGTAATAGGGTGTCATGCCTCCCACAATTTGGAAATTCTCTGGGGGTCATTCTGATTAGAAAATGAATATAAAGCTGTCACCTATTCATTCTAGAGTTTAGTAGCATTCTATAAGTAATGTACACATCTGTCATTTCATGACCGCACAGAGTATCTTCAGTGCACCTGTATACGAGTCCTTCCATTTCTGAGCCTTCATTAAATCTGAGCAATGCTGATACTGGTTTTAGGAAATCTGGCATTACACAAAAGAAATCTCCAAACTGAGAGCTCAAAAGATGTAGTTGTTTGGTAAAGACGCCCCAGTTGGTACATTTGAATGTTACACATTATATTGTAAACATCAAGTAACACCACAAACATTTTAAAAAAGGAAGTTTATTGGTCTTTAAATGGCTCAAATTGCAAATAAACAAATTGGGTAGTGGCATCAGCCTAAGACACGTGATGCATCTTTGTCATTTGGCTTCATAGCACCTCAGTACCCAGGAGAGGAAAGGTCTCAAAGCAAAGTCACAATGTTAGTGGTTAGGACCCCTGGTTAAATAAGACTGTAATGAGTACACATGGAGATTGCTGGGCCCGCTGGCCAGTGTTACACTGGTAACCTCAATTCTGCACACGGCATAGCCTATGAGAAATACAAAATGGAAGATGTACATCTCAAACCCTTTAAGGACAAATATTTAACATGAGAAGCTGGATGTAATATCTAAAGAGTGAGTTCCTAAAAAGCCTATTTTTAACTTTACGTACACACCTGTTACCTGGAATGCCTGAACACATCTTTGACCTGTTGAAATTAGGACTGAGCAAAAAGAAAAAAATACTGCGTTAAATCAATTGTCCTAGCCCCACCGAAAAAAGGAAAAAAAAAAAAATCTGAAAGTGGCATATTTCCCACTGAAGTTATGTCCCCAAATAGCGTGCTAGAATTCTTCCAGCAGGAACACCACACAATGGTGACAGAGCCTAATGTTTGGTCAGTGTGTGCCACACATGTTTTCTGCACTGTACCCAGGTTTGACTGCTTGATGTTAACTTCTGAAAATGTAGCTACAGTGTTCTTTATTATGAACATAAGCAGACAAGAATTACTCCTAATAATTCCTGTACCAAACTGTAACTTCATGAGTACAAATTTAGAAATGAACAGATGGCAAGCATGAATATTTTCCCCGAAGTGTTCTAGTGCAAAATGCATTAGCACTACTGACATTTTCTTCCTGTGCCCTGCTCCCAGGAGATTAAAAACTTAACACTTACATGCTCACCACTGGCAGAAAGTAATCTCCAGGGACCAGCATCTTAGAGAAAAGGAGGGTTCATTCCAAAGTAACTGGTGCTGAATCCTCGCAGTTGAAAATGATCTTATAAGTATATGCTGGCCCTTCATTTAAAATGACCTTGCAGTTTATTAAAAGCGATCAAAGAGCTCTGGAATCTTATTTTCAAGAACCAGAGTATGGCACACATTTTAAATTTGGACAGTTACTTCTCAAGAATCTTCTATACAAAAGCTGTACTCCATGCTGGGCATATATGTTCTCACCAGGACACATGGGGCAGTGGACCCCTGGTGTCAGTAAGAACACACCCAGAATGATATAACCGGGTATTTTTCAGTTTCTAAATTAAGGCATATTCAAAAAATTCCATGTACAAGTTTACACCACTTTTCTAAGTTAATCACCAGGTAATTAAAGCAGATTCACAGATGAATTACTCTGTTTAACTATATGCAACAACCATGCCAATAACTTTTCTTCTAAATTTTGCATAATAATGGTTAAAAAAGTGGTACAGTTTAACTATCATGTTCACAATTGTCATTTTTCAAGGCAGTAGAAGACCAACACATTTTAAAATGATATAAAATTTAAGCTTTATAATAAACACCAGAGGAAGTCACCTTTCCTCCTACTCCCCACCCCATCTCACTTCTTTATTTAATATTTCAAGAAAGACTGCCCGAGAAACACAAGCTCACACGCTACATTCAGGACCATGATAAATGTAGGCAATTATGAAATAAGTTGAACTCTGCTTCTTGGTGAAGCCACATTAATTTCTTTTTAAAGTAAATTTGACTTTCATTGCAGTTCCAATTCATGCTTTTAGTGATATACAACAATTTCCAAAACGTTAAAGTAATTTCAGTCAATTAAGCCTTCAATGGCAATGCTTATAAATTATATTTATTAGTATGGTCAAGATAAGAAAGGAGTTTGGGCTTTGATTATAAAATGCAGCATCTTTCTCTGATTCTCTTGGCTAAACTTTTCCTCTTCTTTTTTCCATTCTTTTCTTTGCTGTCTTCCATCTTTCTTGCTCGAATTTCTCTCATTAAATCAAAAAATACCTAGGAAAAAAAAATAGGACAAATAAAGCAAAGAGGCATATGAACTTAGCACTTCTCCAAATCATAGCAGTAAACTTTGTAGATAATAGAAGAATAAATATTTAAGAGCTTTTGTTTGGGAGTAGAGAGAGGAATACATAAAACTAAAGCCTGATTTTCCTAGTATCTTGAAAAAAGAAGAAATGCAGGAAATTTTCTGAATTACACTTTATGGTAAAAATGTTCATATTTAATAAAACCTGATCTTTCTGTTCCAGTTTTCAAGACAAAAATTTAAAAAGTGCTATAAGGTGATGATAGCCCCAAAGACAAAACTCAACGAATTATATCTAAGTACTTTATAACCAATAAATGTATTTTATTAATTTGTATTTAATAATATACACTTAATAGCTGGGCGTGGTCGCTCATGCCTACTTTGGGAGGCTGGGGTGGGCGGATCATGAGGTTCAGGAGATTGAGACCATCATGGCCAACATGGTGAAATCTCATCTCTACTAAAGATACAAAAAATTAGCTGGGCGTGGTGGCATGTGCCTGTAGTCCCAGCTACTCGAGAGGCCGAGGCAGGAGAATTGCTTGAGCCCGAGAGGCGGAGGTTGCAGTGTGCCAAGATCATGCCACCGCACTCCAGCCTGGTGACAGAGTGAGACTGTGTATCAAAAAAAATATATATCTATATATCTATATATTTATGTATGTATACACACATACATATACTTTTAAACTTATATTTAGTAATTTGATTATATTTCATAACTTAGTTTCTTCAGCTCCATTTTTAGAAACGAAGCTGACTATTCCTTTATCATCTTAATACCAGATACTACCAAACAACTTTGTTACTCTATATTTGAGAATTTATCAGTTTTCATTTGATGTCTAGGAACTGGTAAATAATGAGATAGTAGCATAGTAACTAAAAAAATTATGAGTGTAACAATTCAAAGTTAAATTTCAATAACAAATTCCTCTGTTCTCCAACATAGAAGGGTCTGGAAGGCTACACACTCACACTCCACATAAATACCTGAGAGTATATGATAAAAGGAGGAATAACTTTATGATCACTTTTGAATTCTGGATTTTAGAAAATAAGTTTTTACTTATAGAATTTAAAAACTCATTAAGACTAAAGATAAGCAAGAAATATTAAAGTGATAATAAGTGCTGTGAGTAAAGAAGCGTGTTTATATCATGACTGATGCGGCCTTTCCTAATGCGCCTCTAGTTTTCTAGTGAAAACTAACTGAAAAAAGCAAGGTACAGAATAGCAGATAGAGTGCTACCTCTGTGTGTGTGTGTGTGTGTGTGTGTGTGTGTGTGTGTGTGTGTGTGGCAGGAGTACATACGTATTTGTTTGCCCTTGCACAAAGAACAATGATAAACCAAACCCTAATAATCAACTTCATTTTCAAGAAGAGAGGAGAGTACAAGGAAGAGTGAGGCATCTCTGAATATATCTTGTTATAGAATTTCTACTTTAGAGACATTGGTGTTTTACGTATTCAAAAATAAAATTAGGCCAGGCATGGTGACTCACGCCTGGAATCACAGCACTCTGGAAGGCTGAGGCGGGCAGATCACCTGAAATCGGGAGTTCTAGACTACTTTGGCCAACATGGCGAAACCCTGTCTCTACTGAAAATACAAAAATTAGCTGGGTGTGGTCGTGTGTGCCTGTAATCCCAGCTACATGGAAGGCTGAGGCACGAGAATCGCTTGAACCCAGGAGGCAGAGGTTGCAGTGAGCCAATATTATGCCACTGCACTCCAGCCTGGGCAACAGAGTGAGACTCAGTCTCAAGAAAAAAAATAAATAAGTAAAAATAAAATACAACCCCTAAAAATTGAAAATCAAATTAAAACAAGTAAGACTGGCCAGGCATTTTGGTTCATGCCTATAATCCCAGCACTTTGGGAGGCCGAGGAAGGGGTTCCCTGAGGTCAGGAGTTCAAGACTAGCCTAGCCAACATGGTAAAACCCTGTCTCTACTAAAAATACAAAAATTAGCCAGGTGTGGTGGTGTATGCCTATAATCCCAGCTACTCGGGCGGCTGAGGCAGGAGAATCACTTGCACTCAGGAAGCGGAGGTTGCGGTGAGCAGAGATCACACCATTGATCTCTCCAGCCTGGGCAACAAAGTGAGATTCCATCTCAAAAAAACCCCAAAAACCCAAAAACCCAAAACCCAAAGCCCAGAACCCAAACCCCCCACCAAAAAAAAAAAAAATCTCAGAAAAAACAACACTGACTATATTCCAAGTTGGTGACAACAGTCATACAGTGGAATTATTTCAAAGGTCTATAAAACATAGCATATAAATCATTTATTTTAGAATAGATGCTACGGATAAAAGTAGAAACAAAATTCCAATTAAACAACAAGAACAACAACAACAGAGACAAATCTTAAACTTTTTTTTTTTTTCTTTTGGTTAAGACAGAGTCTCTGTTGCCCAGGCTGGAGTGTGATGGTGCAATCTTAGCTCACTGTAACCTCTGCCTCCCGGGTTCAAGAGAGTCTCCTGCTTCAGCCTCTCAAGTAGCTCGGATTACAGACATGAGCCACCACGCCCGACTAATTTTTGTATTTTTAGTAGAGATGGGGTTTTCCCATGTTGGCCAGGCTGGTCTCAAACTCCTGACCTCAGATGATCCACGCGCCTCAGATTCCCAATGTGCTGGGACGTGTGAGCCACCGCACCCAGCCAAACTTCATTTTGTAGTTTGTTCGTGACAGCAATGTTGCTCTTTTGGAACTATTTTACATACACTGAAGACTAATGCAAAGGAATTATGTTAGTGTAATTTAGGAACCAAGATTTTCAGTGTAAGAGAAAAGATATAAGTACAAAATCAAAGAGGTAAACATTTGTAATGTTAAATTTGAATTGGAAATAACATGATCACATATTTCTTTTCTTTTAATAATACCTACTTCCTAGCACTATTCACTGAAAAGTGACAACCCAACAGCAACAAGCAAATTAAGTACCTATGCTGTGTCTGCTAAATACCATTCTTCTTAAACAGAACCTGAGTTCCTTAGATGAATGGCTGATTCCTGATCTGAAGAAGTATACATTTTAAATCAGAAAGCAAGGTAGCTATTGAAAATGAATGGGCTGAGTCAAACAGACATAGGACCAACATGAAGAAGTATAAATGGTTAAAGGGAAAAACTGAGCATATTAGACACACACACACACACACACACGAGTATGCAACAGAATGAAACACAATGATGACATAAAACACATTAGTTCTTGCCCCCACTGGTTGTGATTCTATTTCCCCAGAGATCAGGAATTTCAGAAGACCTCTGTTTCAAGTCTCTGACTAACTAGCTAGGGCAGGAGGTCTCAATTCTAACTAAGTGTAATTATTAGAGTATTCCCAGTACTGCTTTCTAATGCACATAAATCACTAAGAAAAGGATACTATATGAAGGTTTAACTTCAAATTTTATTTTTGATTGAATTTTATCTTTTTAATTGACACATATTCACAGAGCACACAGTGATGTTTTAATACATAATGTACAGTGATCGGATCAGGTTAATAAGCATATCCATCATCTCAATCATTTATTTGTGTTGGGAATATTCAATATTCTCCTTTCAGGTATTTGAAACTATATATTATCAAGTATAGTCATCTGCAGTAGTATAGTACACTAGAGCTCATTCCTATCTAGCTGTAATTCCGTATAATTTAACAAATCTCTCCCTATCCTTCCCATTCCGGCCTCTAGTATCCTCTGTTCTATTTTTTACTTCTATGAGATCAACCTTTTTCTAAACTTTTACATATGAGTGAGAACATGCAGTGTTTAACTGCCTGTTCCTGGCTTATTTCACTTAATTTTCTCTAGTTCTATCCATACTGCCATGAATGACAGAATTTTATCCTTTTCAATGACTGACTAGTATTGCATAGTGTATATCTATCACATTTTCTTTATTCATTCTTCTGTTGTTGGCATTTGTATTGGTTCTGTGTCTTGGCTATTGTAAACAGTGCTGTAACAAACAAATGTCAACAGGAAAATGGCTAAATTATGGGAAAGCTTAACCATGGAATACTTTGTGGTTTTAAAAAGAATGTGGATACATCTATATGCAGTGACATGGAAGAGCTATGAGATTTGTCATAAAATTTAAAAAGCAAACCACAGAAATGTGCACTGTACATACAGATATAAATAGTGTGTGTGTGTGTGTGTGTGTGTGTGTGTGTGTGTGTGTGTGTGTATGTAAATCCTATTAATATTAGGGGGAAAAACAGGCAAACACAAACTTCCTCTTAGAGATATGTATGCCTGCTTTTAACATCTGGAAAGACACACCCGTGTTAGCACTGGTTACTAAAAGGGAGGGGAAGGGAGTGAAATATGGGAGAAAAGTGACTCACTTTTCCTCCTTATGTTTCTGTATTATGAATTTTTCTTTACATAGTATGTATCCACGTATTACTTGTACAGTGAAAAAACCTAAATATGGTATTTTCCAAAAAATACAGTATATTTCTACCAAAATTCTCTCCTCAACATAAAACTGATATTCTTGACATAATAAATAACACTGCCCCTTTGGACATCTGTTAATACTAGTTCAACTTCTCTCTGTTCTGCCAAGATGTTTAAAAAATCAAGAGCAACCTTGAAGTTGTGAATTAAGAAGCAGAGCATTTAGCTAGAAGGGTACTAACAAGGTCATTGAATGAATCCAATGAGTATACAAGTAGGTTTGCCCAGATCCTCTAGCCTTAGGGTGATCCCTCTGTGACAAGCGTGGCCTCCTGAGACATGCCATGCCCCAGCTCTGGTGGCTATGATACTTTTTCATGAGTAGGTTTAAAATCTGCATCTTTGAAACTTTTACCCAATGGTCTATGTGGAATCCAGATGAGGATAAGGCCTCAGCCAATGATCTTATGGAGAGCTAGCATTTGTTCTGTGACAAAGCATGACATTTTGCAATTTAATAGAAGGAAATAACACTTGCTATTCCTGAAAATTTGTGATCAGGCTTCTAGTAGTGGATGACATAAGAAATGGGAAAACACTGGCTATTCCAACCATTGTTTCGTTTTGTTTTTGGGATGAGGTCTTGCTCTATTACCTAGGCTGGAGGGTAGTGGTATTATCTGGGCCCACTGCAGCCTCCAGCTCCTGGGCTCAAGCAATTCTCCTGTCTCAGCCTCCTGAGTACCTGGGACTACAGACATTCACCACCACACCTGGCTAATTTTTGTACTTTTTGTAGAGATGGGGTTTTGCCATGTTGCCCAGGCTGGTCTCAAACTCCTGGGCTCAAGTAATCTGCCTGCCTTGGCCCCCCCAGAGTAAAGGGATTATAGGTGTGAGCCACCGTGGCTGGCCTCAACCATTGTTTTGAGTAGAATAGCTAAGAAAGAATGTGAGCACCAGAGTTGGCCAGACCTAGAGGCAGCAGATGCCACCACGAATCCTGTGACCTTGAGCCAGTTATGTAATCTTCCCACACCTCTCATCTTCCTCATCTAAAAAATGAGCATCAGAAGACTATCTATGTGTCACACAATTAAGGATTAAATAGTTGGTACTTACCATAGTGCCTGGCTCTTATAAGCACAAATAAATATTAGCTCTTCTGACTATTAGATTATTTCCTCAGGAAAACAACCACAAAGACAAGTATAACCTAATTCTGGAAATGGAATAGCTACTGCAAATGACTTTTACATAGCCACTGAGATACTTTATCTGGTAGCCACTCTAAAAGGATGTAGCAGTACACAAAATTATAGTCTTCAGTATGGATTTGCACCTCATTTTACAAGCAGCCTTGTTTAATGTAATTCTGTTTTGGAGAGGTGACCACTGAGTGCAGACTGTATTATCTTAAACTACTTACAGCAATGTTTCCTATGTGCTTTTCCAGAATTCTGCCACTTTCCCTCAAGAGGTGAAGTTGATTCCTCTCCCTTCTCAACCTAGGTGAGACTTTGTGACTACCTCCAACCTGTAGCAAGAGGCTGAAATAATGCTGCATAACTTCCAAGACTAAGTCATAAAAGGCTGGATGGTTTCTGCCTGGTTCTTATTCTCTTCTAACACTTGCCCTTGGAGGCTCTGCCCACTATGCTGTGAAGATGCCTAAACTAACACACAGGGAGAAGGCCACATGGAGGAACCCACCTGGAGAGGAACTGAGGCATCCTTGGATAATAGCCAGCATCAACTGGCTGAGCCAGACATGTGTGAACAAGCCTTCAGAACCTAAGGTTAGGTATTTCCAGTGTCCAGACTTGAGGCTTTTCAGCTGAGGCATCAGACACTACAGAGCAAAGCCAAGCCACTTCTACTGTACCCTGTTCAAATTCTTAGCCACAGAATGTATCAGCAGAATAAACAATTGTTTTATCCAGAAAGGTTTTGGGGTGTCCTTTGTTACACAGCCATAGTAACTAAAACAACCCTGTATCTTTTTCTTTCTTGAAAAAGTAATACAGTTGTACCTCAGTATCTGTGGGGGATTGGTTCCAGGATGCGCTTGTGGATACCAAAATCTGTACCTACTCAAGTCCCACAGCTGACCCTGTGGAACCCATGGATACAAAAAGCCAGCCCTCTGCATACGCAGTTTTCACATCCTGCTGTATTCTCCATCTGCATTTGGTTGTGGATGCAGAGCCCACTGACATGGAGGGCAGACTGCATCTATGAAAAAAATCTGCACAGCTCAAACCTGTGTTGCTTGAGGGCCAAGTGTCCATGAATATGGCAAAAAGGTCACAAGGTTATTTACAGTGAAAAGAGCATAAACTGTGACTTAATTCTCTGAAGGCAACCACAGGTACCAGAGTCTTACATATCCTTATGATATGTACATAGATAATGTGTATGTATGTGTGTTCAAAACACATGGCAGCAAACTACAGACACCACTCTGCACTTTGTTTCACTTACTTTATAACTGAAGATCATTTGATATCAGCACATTTAGTTCTATCCTCATTTCTTTTTAATGGTTGGGTAATACTCCATTATTTAAACTAGTCCATTATTGAGCACTTGGATATTTCCAGTCTTTTGCTTCTAAAAATAATGCTTCAGATGTTTCCACACAGTTAACATTCCACTGACTACCACTGAACATACATTTATATGTGAGTGCATGATTTGTCTGTATCACACATTTTTAAGACTTAAATTGTTGGGTCATAATTCTGATAGATAGCACAAAGCTGCCCTTCCACCAACATGAGAGGTTCCTGTTTTTCTATTCTCTCACCAACAGTATATTCTATTCTCAACCTCTTTGCCTTTTTCTCCCAAAGTGACAGGTAAAAAAAAGGACATCTCACTATATTTTTAAGTTGTACTTCCCTTTTTATAAGTGAGACTGAGCATCTTTTCTAGTTTAAAGGTCATTTGTGTTTCCTTTCTAAGACATGCCTGTTGCTGTTTTTGGTCATTTTCTCACTGTCCTGTAAGAGCTGTGATAATGCATACACCATACTTCCCAGGGCCTCTGATGCCAACAGATGACCTCCACAAGGACTGTTACAACACAGTGCTTGTGTTGTAACAACACTGTCAGTGTCTGCATCTCTTCTACACTCCCCTCAGGTTCAAATAGTTTTCATAGTGTGTTCTACAACCTGCTCAAGACATCAATTAGGAGAAAATAAAGTATATATATGCTATGGGAATGTTCAATGTTGCCTTTCAAAACCTCAAACACCCTCAATCTTAAAATATATTTTCATTAGTACTTGAAAAAATTTCCCCTACAAATTGTCTCTTTAAATCTGTAATTTTCTAATGACTTACTATAGGTCAGGCATAGGCTGTGGCATTTTACATATGTGATTTCATTTAATCTTTACAATAATCCTATGAAGGCAGGTATTCTTGTTCCCATTTCCAAATGGAAGCTAACTGAAATACCCAAGCCCTACTTACTTTGTGCAGAAACCACGGTTCCAGGAAAATATGACAGGGCATGCTATAGACTGAATGCTTGTGTCACCCTAAAATTCATATACTGAAATCCTAATCCCCTATGCAACGGCAATAAAAGATGGGGCCTTTGGGTGGTAATTATGTCACTAGGGTAGGGCTCTTGTGATGGGATCAGTATCCTAGTAAGAAGAATGAGGAGAGCTATCTCTCTTTCTGTGTCATATGAAGAGACAGCAGGAAGGTGTTAGATATTTCCTGCAAATCAGGAAGAAAGCCCTCTCCAGAATCATGTTGTTTAGGACCTTGATCTGGGACTTGCTGGCCCCTAGATCTGTGAGAAATAACTGTTATTTAAGAAACACACACACACACTCTCTCTCTCTCTCTCTTGCCCTAGTCTTAACCTTAGAAAAAACTAGTATCCTAAATAGAAATCTATAGTACTCATTTTGTACAGCTATCTTGGACCTAAAGGAATCGGACAGTGTGCTAAAAAGTTAATAAGCTTAAGACAGCAATGACACTGTTTTAAGACCTACAGCAAAATAACAGAACAAATCTCCAACTTTTTTTTAACCTAGTACTTTCTGGATCAGGGTTACAGATCTACAAGCACATGCGCCACCTGTTAGAAGTGCAAATTCTCAGCCCCATTCCAGACCAAATGAATCTGAATCTCTGGGGTTAAGACCCAAGAATGTGTGTTTATCAAAATTTACAGACAATTCTCAAGTAGAGTTTGAGAGGCACTACTGTAGAGCTTAGATATTTGCAGGCTGAAGAAAGGCCCACTTAGAGGCCTTTAAGATCCTGTGTTACCTCAGCCTACTGGGCAGTCTTTCTAGATACTGGAGCTGGTCTAGCGCAGCGAGATGAAATGTACTTGGGGTGTTCCACATCTGGTTTTCAGGAAGGGCCACTCTGAACAAAGAGAGAAGACAAGAAAGGAGGGCAGGGGATTTCCTTTCCTTTCTTTCTCTTTCAGGAGAAGACAAAGATTGAGGGTGGGGAGTGTACACTGGCAGGAGAGATTTTAAAATGCTCTTATCTGAGGGTTTCTTCATCTTGGGAGGTACCCTTATTTTTAAGAACTTAAGTGGGTTTGGGCAGGCATCAGGTCAGAGATGAGAACATTTGGTGGTGCTGGAATCTTGGGACTCACACAATTCCTTCTATATTATCCAAAGCCCCAATAGGATAAAGGGGGGAAAAAAAGGTCAGGAATGCCATCAGTATTTTACAAAAAAAAAAAGTACATTTAGCTGCAGTGTCTCATGTTTTAATGTCTGTTGGGAAGCTAAGGTGAAGTAAAATTCCTAACATGTATCTGTACATTCAGGGATGATAAAAAGCAACATATATTAAAATCTCTATTTGAAAGTTTCACAGACTCTAGACAAAATGGAGTCAAGTTAAAGCAAGCCAACCTATTTTAGCATGACACACTAGTAAAGAGAGTCACATGTTACCTTGTCAACATTAGCTCGTGTTTTAGCAGATGTTTCCACGTAGTTAACATTCCACTGGTCAGCTCTGTTTTTTGCTTCTTCTACAGAAACCTGCCTTTTATCTTCTAAATCTGATTTGTTACCAACCAGTAGAAATGGAACATTCTCATCTTCTTTTACTCTTAAAATCTGCTCCCTGGGTAAGAGAAAATGAAAAAGAAATATTAACATTATAAGGATAGTACAGAAAGTTCCTGTCTGCCCTACACCTAGTTTCCCCTATTGTTAAGATCTTCTCCTGCTTTGCTACATGTATCACAATGAATGAACCAATATTGATACAGTATTAGCAACTAAGGTCCAAACTTTATTCAAATGTGCTTGCTTTTTGCCTGACATCGTTTTTCTGTTCCAAGAGCCCATCCAGGTCACCACATGACATTTACTATTGTCATATATCTCTAGCCCCAAGCTGGCTGTGGTAGTTCTCAGACTCTTCTTGTTTCTGATGGCCTTGATAGTTTTGAGGACTGTAGGCAGGCAGTTTGTATAATATCTCTCAATTGGGATTTGTTGGATGTTTTTCTCATGATTAAACTACACTTACAGGTTCTTGGGAGATTTAGAGTGCTATTCTTATTGCATCATATCAAGGGTCCCACCAATTGTTTTTAAAACCCAAATGTGCCAGAAATTACTAGAAGTCAGATCTTGAGCACAGATTTTGCATTTAGAGGAAAGTTATCCACTGTGAAAGTGTCATCAGTTTTAAAGTACCATGGTTCTGCTCTTCCCAGTCATGTGACTCTGAGCAAAGTACTCCTTATCTCAGTTTCCTCATCTATAAAATGGAGCTAACAATGATACTCCTTATAAAGTTGCTATGAGGGTTAAATGTGAAGTGCTTATAACTGCATGGCACAGAGTAAACATTTAAAAAAATGTTAACTCATTATTAATCTACTGGAAAAAATGTTTTCTTATAAAGTCAACAAACAAAAAGAAATCTCTAAGACTTAGGTTCACTAATTTGCAACCTTAAAAATGGTTCTCTTCTGAAATTATTAAGAGCTGTTGAAGCTATAAGAACATAAGTATAGTCAGCTCTCTGTATCCAGACTCAATTAACTGCAAATAAAAAATACTGAAAAAAATTCCCAAACAGCCAGGTGCAGTGGCTCATACCTGTAAACCCAGCAGTTTGGGATTCTGAGGCAGGAGGATAGCTTGAGGCTAGGAGTTCAATAACAGTCCAGGCAACATAGTGAGACCCTGTCTCTTTAAAAAATAGGAAAAAAAAAAAAAAAAATTGGCTGACTGTGGTAGTGTGCACCTGTAGCCTTGGCTGCTTAGGAAGATCATTTGATCATTTGAGCCCAGAAGTTCATGGCTGTAGTAAGCCATGGTTACATCATTGTACTCTGGTCTGAGACCTTGAGACCAAGAGTAAGACCTTGTCTTAAAAAAACAAAAAAACAAAAAAAAATCAAAAACCAAAAACCAAAAAAAAATGCCACAATCAAAAGTAAAACAAAATTTAAAATGCAGCATAACAACTATTTACATAGCAATTACACTGTATTAGATATTAAAAGTAATCTAGAGATGACTTCAAGTACATGGGAGGATGTGCATAGGCTATAAGCAAATACCACACCATTTTATAGAAGAGACTTGAATATCGAAGAAACTTGGATGTTGGTATCCACAAGGGGTCCTGGAACCAACTGCCCCCAGATAGAGGGGCGACTATATTTTAGAATAAGAGAAAATGAGAAAATTAAAGGGATGTCAGAATGGCAAATCAGCGAAGTACACTTGGTTTGCAGGCTTTTTTTTTTTTTTTTGAGACAAGGTCTCACTCTGTCACCCAGGCTGGAGTGGAGTAGCGTGATCATGGCTCATTTGCAGCCTCCACCTCCTGGGCTCTAGCAATTTGCTTACCTCAACTTCCCGAGTAGCACACCTATACTAAAGTAGCACATCTATACCACACCCAGCTAATTTTTTTCTTCTTTTTGTAGAGATGGGGTTTCACCATGTTGTCCAGGCTGGTCTCGAACTTCTGAGTTCAAGTGATCTACCCGTCTCAGCCTCCCAAAGTACTGAGATTACAGATATAAGCCACTGTGCCTGGCTGCAGGCATTTTATAGTGACGCTTAAGAAACTGGGACAAATATTCTTCTTGACTTATTTTCAAATTATTCTATTCTGTGCTTCTTGGACAATGTTTCCTAAATACCACCACAATACTACCACTAACATTTTATTCAGTGCTCTCAATGTGCCAAACACTGTTTTCAGTACTTTATATACATTTTCCCATTTAATCCTTACCTAAATCCATGAAGTTAGCATCACTATTATTCTTATGCTACAGATAAGGAAACTGGGGCACAGAGAAATTATGTTAACTTGCTCAGGGTCACACTTCAGGAGAAATAGGACTGAAAAATCCAACTCTAGAGCACACAATGAACATGTACAATAGATACCACGAGAATATGAAGGCATACCTCCTGGATTTTAACTCTATGCTATTCCTGACTGCACGACCTGGGGCCAAACCACTAAACCTCCCTGCATTTCAGTTTCTTCATTTATAAATTTAGATGTCACTTTTTAAAAAAAATCAAATTTAAGGCATCACTAGTTCTCAATCTTATTTTATGGACTATCAAGAAAAACTGCTGGCAATTATAACTATATGGACCCATATCATGAGACACAGCCCTGAGAGATGTTAAAATATAAAAAATGTACATCTTAGAATCTATGAAATCCAGTAGTATCTACCTCACAGTGTTGTTTGAGAAACTAGTTTATATATGTAAATGCTTAGGACAGAGTCTGGCTCCTGGTAAGTTTTGCATGAGTATGAGGTAGTGTTACTATTGTTATTACTTCATTCACTTGATTAATCATGATGTAGGGAACATTCTAACACATTCAACACTCAGAGAAGTTCTTTGGACCTGAACTCTCAGTTCTAATGTGAATAGACTATAAGCCACATAGACTATGGGCCACAGAGGACGTCAACTCCATTCTTCACTGATTAATTTATCTTACATATCCTTTTAGAAAATAAAAATGTCAAGCACGGTATCTGGGTGATGTACACTAAGACGTACAGCACTACACGGTGCTATGATGCTTCCTACTACTCACATGATTTCTTACAAAAACCATGTCAACTCTCACCATGATTACTATTAAATAAACGCTGTCCTTGTGAAGAGGATTTTGGCCAATCACAATCTTTTTCTAGGGCTTGCTGTGACTTTCTTAACCAGTTTCCTAGGCTGTTAACGACAGCTGACTTGCCACCCAATCTCACCACTTGGAAGGTGAGACTGACTCAGGTGTTTGTAACTCTAGCAACTCTGGGTCATATGTGTGTATATATAGTCACTCATTTATTTCTTAATAAATACCTACAAAGCTACTCTGAGTCATGCACTGCAGGGAAACCAACACTGAAAAACTATAGTGTGACTGATGCTAACAGAAACATGGCCATAGAAAACCTGGATATACTGGGTTCCGAGGTGAGAAGACAATATTTTTTAGAGTTAATAGGTTGGTTTTATTAGCAACTTTTCTGGATGTCAGAGAAGGGTAATCCTATATGTATAAACTTTGTACACATTTTGCTTAATGTAATACTCCCTTTAAATAACAGCTTTAGAGGCTATTATAGAATTTCAGACTAGGAAAGTACAATCTGGTCCAACTTCTTCATTTTTGACATAGGAAAGTAAGAACTAAAAGGTAAGGGTTTTTGAATTAAAACAAATGTTTACAAAACATGTACTTAGTGTAGATTACATGCTAGCAACTATGTCATATATACGTATTGAGGATACTGAGACAAACAAGGAATGCGTCCTGCTCTCAAGAGTTTTGACCTTATTGGGGAAAACACAGATAAATCTAGCTCAGTATAAGAGTGTGTTAACCATGATACTGGAGCTGTAGCAAGGACATCACATATACAGACGAGGAATAAATGGATTTTGTGGATCACAGAGATGACCAGGAAGGCTAAGGAGAGGAGCTGATATTTGTGCTACCCTTGCCATTTAGACCACGTGGAGTGCCTACTACAACCATTCAGATCTTCTCAAAAAAGCCTTTCCTATTGTTGGTGAGTCACTAGAGTCATTTTTATTTATGGCAGGGGCAACATATTAGAGGTACACCATAGGGCAATGAATTGTCCTTATTTTCTGTAACAGTAATAGCCCAAGATTCTTGGCATGAATATACCTTATTCTCTTGAGATATCACTTTGGCTTTGGTGACTATGGTGATAACATTTATTCCATTACACAGAACAGGACTTGCTACATTATAAGCACTCAAATATACACTGAATGTATAAGCATTGGCATTTCTATGACTTTCAAAATATCTCCCACAATTACAAGTTACCAGGGTCTGCCATCCTTTGCATGTCATCATATATGAAATTTCTTCCTCATAGAAACCAACAAACCTTATTTTATGATAAATTTATACTTCAAAGTTTCTCAAGTACATGCTTTTTGCAAAGAATGCTCTCTTAGAATAAGTTCTTGAGATTTTCAAGTGCACATAAAAAGGAATGCTCTGTATAAGCCTTGGTTTAGTTTTTTGCATTACCACTTGAAATGCCCTCTTTCCTTACTGTGAAAATCCCTCTTTTCTTCAAGCTCATCTGTTTCATGAAGGTTTCCCAGCTTCCTTCTCCTTCCGGATCCTCTGTACTAACCACTGCACATGTTTTCTACTTTGTCACTAAATTGCTTTTGCTTACATGCCTTATATATTCATCTAGGCTGTGTGAATCTTGAAAATAGAGGATATATTACATGCTTCTTTTCTGTTCTCCATAATCAAGCATACTTAACAGAGAAATAAAAATATGCATCATTTAATTAAAGAACACTTTGGATTTACGCATGGAGTATTTGCAAGACCACTCAAGAACTCTATGCCAAATTTCTCTTAAAGAGGAGAACCTCTTTCCCCTTCACCAAAACCAACTCCTCTAAAACCAAATGGGTGCCAGATTTGGATTAAATAATAAATATTAAAAATAATATATAACAACCTAATGTGCCCATCTACAGTGATACTATTTCTATTCAAAAATTTATTCATTCTGAAGGTTTCCATGCAATAAAAAAAACAAAAAATTCAGTCTACACTATCAGGGCACCTGTATTTTGAGGAGGATGGCAATGTGCCTGCTAAGCATCACATAGGTGCTGAGAAACCAGAAGTAACAGAGAAAGATGTAAAACCTGGGTAAGCTCCATTATGTGATCTAAGTATCACATAGGTGCTGAGAAACCAGAACTAACAGAGAAAGATGTAAAACCTGGGTAAGCTCCATTATGTGCTCTAAGTATGAACTGTTATGGCAGTAGTAGTTTACACTAAAGACAAATACTTCAGTAACTCATAGACTCTGGGTAACTGAAGCTGTCACAAAATCAAGCTCTAATACAGCTGACACTGGGATAGCTGTAAGATTATGCAAAGTATCCTAAATATCTGTGTGTATGTTAACATAGTAGAGTCATATACTGATATCAAAAAGGGAATACACACAATTAAGAGATAGAGTAAAAGACTAACAAGTGAGAACCTCTGGTTGTCTACTTGTTTCTGGGGAAGAAATTGTTATATAGTATGTCACAAGCAACAACATTACTCTAGGACATACCTGAAGTCAGCTGTAGCTGCAAAGGATTCCATTTCTGTAATAGAGAAGACACAGAGGAACCCTTCCCCGCTTCGGAAGTAGTTGTCTCTAATTGCAGCATAGTCCTCCTGCCCAGCTGTATCTAAGATATCGATTTGTACTTCCTCCCCATCCAGCACTACCTTCTTCCGATAGCTGTCTGCTTTGGTAGGCTCATAGTCCTCCACAAACTAGAAAAGATAAAAACACACCAATTTGTAAATTCTTATTTTTACTTTTTAAAACTTCTTATTTTGAAATAATCATAAATTCATGTGAAGCTGCCAAAGTAGTACAAAGAGTTCTGTATATCCTTTACCCAGTTTCCAAAACTACATTAATTTCAATTTTAATTTTATAGACAATCTGTTGGTTTTCTCATTTGCAAAAAGAGAGGGCTGAATTATTACCTCTAGGCTGTTTACAGCTTGAAACAGCTTTTCTTCCTTAAAACACAAAACCTGCAAAAACTATTACACATATATTTTACCAAATCTATAAGAACCTTTTTTTCTATGTGACTCTAAATATAAATTTTCATGCTAGAATTGTGAAAATAACTTAAAAGTCAATATTTTGGTAAGCACTGGAAGTATCATTAAATTTTTTCTTTTTCTAAAATGAACCAAGTCAATAAAGTGATTTATACTACTCTATAGAAAGTAAAATCTTAAACTTTATGAGACTTCTTCCCAAACTTTTAAATAGTACAATTGAACAACTTTACATTCTCACTCCCGTCGTCAGCCCCATAAATTTCACTTTAATATACCTTGATAAACTGGTAGGTAGGTAGGCAGGTAGATGATAAGTATGTGTATATGTATGTAGACAAGACCTTACCATATTGCCCAGGCTGGTCTTGAATTCCTGGGCTCAAACAATCCTAGTGTCTCGGCCTCCCAAAGTGTTGGGATCACAGGTGTGAACCACCATGCCTGGCCTATCTTTTGATATCGATGTTAACATGTATTCACGTATACAGAGACATTTGTGGGTTTTTTATTAGCTCTTATAAATATTTTCATTACCTGAAATATTCTTATTTATTTGCTACGACTGTATCCTGTCATTAGAATTTAACCCCTCAGAGCAGGAACCCTGCATATGCATCATTGTATCTCTAAAGCCTACAACAGTGTCTGGTACATGGTAGATACTCAATAAATAATTATTTTTAAAATGGACACAGTGTATTTGTAACTGTAAAAGTCAAATAACATTCTACCACATTTACATGCTAATGTGCTTAGTCATTCATTAAAAGTTAGGCATGTGGGCTGGGTGTGGTGGCTCATGCCTGTAATGCCAACAGTTAGGGAGGCTGAGGTGAGTGGATCACTTGAGCCCAGGAGTTCAAGACCAGACTGGGCAATGTGGCAAAACCCCATGGTATGGTTTGGCTCTGTGCCCCCACCCAAATCTCATGTTGAACTGTAATTCCCAACGTTGGCGGAGGGACTGGGTGGGAGGTGATTGGATCATGGGGGTGGATTACTCTCATGCTGTTCTCATGATAGTGAGTTCTTAAGAGATCTAATGGTTTTTAAAGTGTTTGGCACCTACCCCCTCATTCTCAGACTCTCTCCTGCTCCAACAGGTGAGGATGTGCTTGCTTTCCCTTCATCCTCTGCCACAATTGTAAGTTTCCTGAGGCCTCCTAGTCATGCTTCCTGTTAAGCCTGCAGAACTCTTTTCAATTAAACCTCTTTTCTTTATAAATTACCCAGTCTCAGGTAGTTCTCAATAGCAGTGTTGGACAGATGGATACACCCTGTCTCTACAAAAATATACAACAATTAGCTGGGTAGAGTGGCACATGCCTATAGTCTCAGCTACTTGGAAGGCTTGAAATGCCTCCCTTAGGAGGCAGGGGTTGCAGTGAGCTGAGACTGCACCATTGCAAGGGCCACAGAGCGAGATGTTATCTTAAAAAGATTAGGCATGTGAATATTTTTACTTTTGGCTTCCTTATTGTCAAGGAGGAGACTAATTTAAGGATTAGTTTGAGAGAAGATTAGCTCTTAGAACAAAAACAGAATTGAACAAATAAATCAGTAATTTCACTTAAAGTAACATTTCAATCCTCTCTCCATAAACTTTTTTTTTTTTTTTTTTTTTTTTTTTTTTAAAAAGACAGTTTTTTTTTTTTTTTTTCTAGGCTGGAGTGCAGTGGCACAGTCATTGCTCACTGTAACCTCCAATGCAAACGATCCTCCTGCCTCATCCTCCTAAGTAGCTAGGAAAACAGGCATGCAGCACCATGCCCAGCTAATTTTTAAAATTTTTCACAGACATAGGGTCTTACTTTATTGCCCAGCTGGTTTAAACTCATAGCCTCAAGTGATTCTCCTGCTTACGCCTTCCCTAAACTTTTTAATTCGGTCACTAACAAGCATGGCAACTGATAGATTTAAGGGTTTTATGTATGTGCGTAAAAAGAATGGTGAGACACAGGCAGTAGAAAAAGACATGGGGGGTTGGGTGCACTGGCTCACACCTGTAATTCCAGCTTTAGGAAGCCAAGGTGGGAGGACTGCTTTAGCCCAGGAGATCGAGAACAGCCTGGGCAACAGAACGAGACCCTGGTTTCTATTTAAAAAAATAAAAGGTAAAAAAAAAGATAAAGGACAGGGGGTGGGAAAAATCTGTAGGGATTTTTTTGTCAAAAGACTAGGTTTAACAGTTTGCTGCTCATCACAGATCACTTTTCTTGGGAAAGTTCAGCAACTTTCTGAGGTTCCGTTTTCACATCCGTAAAATGGGGATACCACCATCTCCCACACAAGATTGTTATGAGGACTAAGTTTTCTGCAGCCATAAAACCTGGTTTTTATTGGGAGGAAACAGAAGTGAGGATAAATATTTACATTGGATTACCAACTCTTAAATCATTAAGAATTGGTAACAGTCCTCTAGGGAAGGACTATATTCCTGTATACAGGCTACACCTTAACTCAGGGATATTAAGGTCTGATATAAATTACATGAATATGAATCTGTAACCTGTGTAGTAACACAAATTTTCGTGACATGACCTTTACCTATTTAATGATGACTGCAATGCCATGCCAAACACACAATAAATAACTGACTTTTTAATCAAGGTTATTAAAAGATATTTTATATATGTTAACCTCCAGTCTCTATTAAGTATTATACCCACCACTTCTATTAATTAAAGATAGGAATCTCCAATAAAACCTAAAAACAAAAAAGCTAAAGTTAGATTACTCAAAAATGGATACTGTTTTTAGTTTAGTTTTGTTTTTAAAGCATGAGGTTTTTAAGGACCTTAAGTTCACGACTTGTTAAATCAAGTTATATACAGATGTTGGCTCTAAACACAAAAATGAAAAAAAAAAATTATTAGTAGCTTCAAGGATTCAAAGAATCCATAAAAAATAGCACCAAAACTAAGCTAGAGAAACACTCTCTGAAAGCCTAAACTTTGATCCATTATAAAATTAGCACTTACCTCATCATACATGAACTGTAGAGTCAGAGCTGACTTGCCCACACCACCACTGCCCACCATGATGACTTTGTGTAAGGCCAAAGAATTCTGACCCTTGGGCTTATTTGCAGCCATCTCGTGTCGAAGTTTTCCCCAAAGGATTAGGAAGAATCTAAGAAGAATGAAAGAATAAGTAATGCTCAGTACATTCTTCTTCAGAATTCCAGTGCAGGAAAGAGATATGTCCTTAGAGTTCAATATACTAGTTTTCAATCTGTAGTGATTTTAAACAGAATGGCAAATGAAGTATGCTCACTGAGGGGAAGAACCATGAACCACTTATCAGAAACCACGGCAATAAAACAAGCCTATGACTCTAGGGCATTTCTCTTAAAATAGTTGGGTTTTAGTAATGAGCTATAATCAAAAGTGAAAATTTCCCAGTACAACCGCATGCTGACAATAATGGGGTATCAACTGCAATATATCCACACAGGCATGAGAGCAGGCTAAAGGATCTCTTTGTTTTCACACTAATCTATATTGGCAATAATTAAAGAGATGTTTCTTCCCTTTTTCTGAGATGGAGTCTCGCTCTGTGACCCAGGCTGGAGTGCAGTGGTATGATCTCAGCTCACTGCAGCCTCCACCTTCCAGGTTCAAACGATTCTTGTGCCTCAGCCTCCTGAGTAGTTGGGACTACAAGTGCGCACCACCATGCTTGTTTAGTTTTTGCATTTTTAGCAGAGACAGGGTTTTGCCACGTTGGTCAGGATGGTCTTGAACTCCTGGCCTCAAATGATCCACGTGCCTTGGACTCCCAAAGTGCTGGGATTATAGGCTGAGCCACCCTGGCCAAGATGTTTCTTTTGAGTAAGAAACAAGGGACCAAAAAAAAAGACTGCTAACGCATTTACTACATCATGCCTCACATTAAGGACCTCACTGAAAGGCTTACTTGCTACAATTTTATAGAAGAAGACATCACATCCCAACAACTTGGTAGTAGAATTATCAACAGAATCCAACATTGTATACCCCAACTAACAGATTACTGGAACATCTGTTTCTTGGGGTGGATGGCCAATCTATCTTAAATACTTGCATTTGGCATGTCTTCACTTTTCTCAGAGCATGCATTGTTTAATACATTTTTATACTCAGTGTGAAGAAGCCAGGTTCTTACAGAAGGTGTAGTGGTGATGTGCACTAATGGCATCCAGTTACCTTTGGTCATGCTTACTTGGCCTTAGAAAAGATCCTCTGAGGCCACAACAAACACTCTGAATGTGTGTGGAGATCCAAGCAAAGAGACTTTGTTATTAGGGGGTTGAGGGTGTTGTACTCCTTGTCTTCAGCAACTCTTTGACTTGTTTCAGACATAAACAGCTTTCCTACGTTGCAGCTCCCAGAACCGTGTCCCTCCTGTTTCCCTCCCTATCTTGGGCCAATCTTTCCTAGCTCAGCTGTATCAGACCCATACTGGTCTCCTGCTCTTCATTCTTCTATGCTTCTTGGCCTTTGCCATGCAGCTTCCTCTGTTTGGCATATTCTTATTCTATCTGGCTAACTCCTCTTGGTTTTTGGGTTTTAGTCTTACCTGAAACTCTCAACCTAAATTAGGTTCTACTCTGCTCTGAGCTCTCAGATAGCCATCTGATAACTTTTCTTTCATAACCCTTATCACAAGTTGAAATTGCCTGCATATGTATTAGGTTGGTGCAAAAGTAACTGTGGTTTTGGCCATTACTTTCAATGGCAAAACCGCAATTACTTTTTGTACCAACTTAATAGTTGTTTAATATGAGTCTTCTTCTCTAGCATACTAGAAGCAGTGAGTTTGGGGCATGTCCATTTGATTTAACGGTCTGCTTAATGTAAATAACATGACTGGCAAATCAGCCTTTTAGTGCAAAAGTGTTAAATGAATGAATACACAAATGTTTGCAGTCTGACCTAACCTTGAGGAATGTGTTAGGCCAAGCTTGTCCAACCTGTGGCCCTTGGGACACATGCTGCCCTCTGAATGCCCAACACAAGTTCGTAAGCTTTCTTAAAACATTATGCGATTTTTTTTTTTTTTGCTCATCAGCTATCGTTAGTGTATTTAACGTGTGGCCCAAGACAATTCCTCTTCTTCCAATGTAAACAGGAAAGCCAAAAGATTGGACACCCCTGGTTTTGGGCTGTACTGGTATAAAGTAGCTCTTGCTAGTAGAGGTTCAATCATGAGCAAGGGCCAGGACAATCTGCCATGGGTCTGTGCCTCACATACTAGCTGCAAAGGGCACCCAAGAGCTGGGTATGGCTTCAGGCCCCACCCAGAAATCATTCCCACATGCTTGTTTGCCCAATACAGAAAAATATTAAGAAAAACCCCCATAATCCTGTCGTTCACTTAACAACATGAACAGGCTAACATACCTCCTTGGAGACTGCTTTCAATCTACATTTAGCATAACTGAGATTATGTATACATAAATGTGATTTTTCATCCTGTTCTTACTGTATCATAAGCATTTTAGCATAAGCAGTTTGAACTGTTAAGTGTATGGCAAAAAATTTACACTTATGGGCTAAGAGTTCGATTTAAATCAACGAATGCAAATTCAGCCCTTCTTTTACCTGGGTATGAAGAACATGACCATTAGATTGTGAGTGCTTATCACTGTTCAAAAACAGTGAAAATTACAATACACTGCAGGTGACTGACTAAAAGACTGAAAGATACCAAATCTAAGCCAGTTTATGAAGCATGCTGTTGCTGGTGTTCCTAAAAAAATCAGGAAGTGACCTCTTTTTTATGATCCTTCCTTGCTGGCAGTTATAATCATGTCACAGCTAATATATCTGTCTTATTTTTGAAACGGTACATATTACATGAGCTCGGGACATTACCATATCAATACTCCAAGAGTTTTGTGTATGTGTGTGTGTGCGCATTTGCGTGTATGTGTTCAAAAGAAAACACCTAGCAGTCACTACAACTGGGTTAAAACACTTTTGCTTCTAGAACAATTTAAAATACAATCTGTGACTCAGAAACTGAAAAGGAAGAAATTTCCAAGGACATTTTTCCAAAGTGCAAACAGTTCCTAATAACCGTGAGCTGCACATTCCAGACTATTAAGAGGCTATCTAGGAAAAGATGCTCCCGCCAAGGAAACACTACTTGACCCCCATTTTAAAAGACTTGGCACTCCACCACCTAACTCCTAAGCTCTGGTCTAGATGCCGTTTTTAATGATAAACAAGCAAAAGCCTCTGCCTATGTGGAACTTAAGACAAACACACACACAAATAAGCAAATCCCATTATTTGCTAAGTACAATGGAAAAAATAAGGTGGTAATTGGGGAGGAGCTACTTCAACCAGATGGTCCGGGGTGACTCCTCTGAAGAGGTGGCATTTGAGATGAGACTTGAACGTTTGGAAGAAACCAGTCAGCTCCGAGGGGAGAGCATTCCAGACACAGGGAATAACAAGTACAAAGACCTTGGCAGTGGGTGGGAGTGGGGAGCATGGCAGGAGAATTGCTAGGGACCAGAGGAAGGCCAGAGTGGATAAAGTCTAGTGTCAGTCTGTTTTCTGTTGCTGTAACAGAATATCTGGGTAATTAATTTTTTTAAAAAGAAATTTATTTCTTATAGTTCTGAAGGCTGGGAAGCCCAAGAGCATGGTAGCAGCATCTACATGGCTTCTGGTGGAAGGCATCACATGGCAAGTGGGCAAGAGTTTGTTTGCCACTGGTCCCATCATGGGGGCCCTACTCTGATGACCTTATCTGATCCCAATTAACTCCCAAAGCCATACCGTCATTCAACACATGCATTTGGGGATTACATTTCCAACACATGGCCAGGCTCAGTGGCTCATGCCTGTAATCCCAGCACCTTGGAAGGCTGAGGTGGGCTGAGGTCAGGAGACCAGCCTGGCCAACACGGTGAAACCCCGTATCTACTAAAAATACAGAAAAATTAGCTGGGTATGGTAGCAGGCACCTGTGGTCCCAGCTACACGGGAGGCTGAGGTTGCAGTGAGCCGAGATCGTGCCACTACACTCCAGCATGGGCAACAGAGTGAGACTCTGTCTTAAAAAGAAAAAAAAAATTCCAACACATGAAATTTGCAGGACACATTTAAACCATAGCACGTAGTGAATGTAAGAGGAGGTAAAATTGGCAGGCAGGCAGAGGCCAAATCACAAAAGGCCTTGAACGTCACATTAAGTGGGTTTTACTAGAACTGCAATGGGAAGCCTCTGGAGTTTTTAAGCATGCAAGATCTGTATTTTTTAAAAGATTATCCTGGTTGGTATGTAAAGAATGGACAGAAGTGCCAAGAGTTGAAAGTACAAGAGGCAATCTCAGTAGTCCGTGCAAGGGAGGACAGAAGCTTGGGCTACAGGAGCAGTAGCAGTAACGGTATTACTAGTTTCAGTATAACGACTAATACCATCTATACTGGGGACAACGAACATTTACTGACCACTCATGAAATGCAAGGCACTGTTCTGAGCACTTTGCACATACTAATTCAGCTGAGTACTACATTTCAGATATTTACAATCCTAGGAGGTATATACTATTTTAACTTCATGTAACAGATGAGGAATCTGGGTCACAGATGTCGACTTGCTCAAGACTGAGCCAGAATTTAAACGGAGGCAGCCTGGCTCTCTTAACCACTATGTTATTTGGGATACATTTTGGAGAAACAGTTGATAGGGCTTCCTGATTGACTGGATGAGAGAAAATAAAACTAACCTTTAAGTTTTTGTCCCAAATATCTGAATGTTAAGCACCACTACCTAAGATGGAGAAGGACTAAGAAGAAATAGGTCTGGGAAAGAAATCCCAAGTTCTGCTTGCACATTGTCTAGCCATTTTCAACTAGAGTTGAAAGGAAAAACTAAATGTTCTAGTCTGGAGTTCAGGAATGAGGGTAGAGATGGAAAAAAAATTGAATGGCAGTTCACAGATGATGTTTAAAGTCACAAAACTGAATGAGCTTCCTTAGGGATAAGATGAAGACGGATAAAAGAAAGCAGCAGAGGAAAGAGCCCTGAAACAACTCAACAGGCTAGTTCAGCAGGAGGAAATCTAGTGATCATAGTCAGTCACCAAAGCTGGCTGGCTTAAGTCCTGCTGATACTGAGGTGAGATATAATAA